GGTGCTTAGTCTATATAGACAACTAAGGCATAAAAATGCATAACATTTAAAGTTACCTTCTGCTATATCGCAAAAACTTTGCCGAGGAAATATTGTTTCTGGGTGCATTGTCTGGGAAGAAACAGTCAGCAACAGGCTATTCTTACTGCAAAAAGCAACCAAACTCAATGTTATAACTGGAAATAAGCCAAAAATTCATTTAAATTTTGTGATCAAGCAGTAGTTATCTATCTGTTGCATTAAATTTTGCACAATTTTCTTGGCCAACTGCATATTGCTTTTAAAGCTTTTATTTAATTTATTTTCCTTGATTCAGTTGGACTAGAAAATGATCCACATAAGCACATGCACCACAAAAGGTTTAAGCCCACAAAAATAACTTCAAAGGACGGCGCCATGACTTTGTTAAGTGGGCATGATGCAAAAACATGAACAGTGACAAACCTTGCCCATGATGGTATAAATTTATTAGATGGTCTGTCATCCTCGTCTTCATCATCATCTGATTTATATGGAGACATCTCGTATGATTGCTCTAGAGGTGAGTTTTTGATGATCAAGTCATTGTCTTCCATTATTGCCTATAAAAATCTCTTAATGGTTAAAAAGGAACCAAGTAACACATTTAAATATTAAAAATAAAAGATTACAGAAGCTCATTGTAAAGACTCATTATCAGTCAGGCCCTGCGTAGCACAAGTACAAGCTGGACTTATTACACAAGAGAATTATGTTCCGTTTAAAAACCGAGTGAATAAATCATATATCATTCAAATAATTGTTGAGCACTATATATTAAGAAACAGTTGGCTTTAAACAACTAATATTAAATAAGCAGCCTGCATTAGTAGAAAAGAACTTCGTATAAAACTGGAAAAGATTTTTTCTGTACCGGACCAAACTGCTATGAAAGCCTTCCATCTATGATTGTTAAAGATAACATAGAAGAGAGCCACAGAAAACTATTTTACCTTTCGTTTATTGGCACATTCGATCTGAGATTCATACTTTTCTTGATAGCTTTCCTTGGTCAAAGGTTCAGCTTCTGAAATTTTCTCTGCATTGCCTTGTCTATTCTCTTGCGGTAGAAATTTGTTACAATCGTCTTTTCCATCCACAATTTTCCTGCTTTCGCGTGCTTCTTTACCCTAGACCAGAAAATGTATATATTAGCATTTACACAAAATCAAAAGAGAGAGACACAAATTTATTGACAAAAGAAGCATTTTAGTGAAGTTGGTCAGTGTACTTTAAACTCTTCTTTCTTAGCAAGTATCTTCTCGTGCTCTGGCTGTTTCATGTCATTAACACGGGTTTTTTTTCCTTCTTTCTCCTTGTTTTCTTCATTTTCTCTTGGTCTCTTTTTTGCTGTCATTTTGGCCTCTTCTTTCTTTCTTTCTTGTTTTTTCTTCTGCAGCTCCATCAACACCTCTTTCTTCTTTTTGCGCTCATTCTCTTTCATTTCATCATTGCGCTTTGCAGCCTCAGCAGCCTTCAGGGCCTTAATTTTGATAACTTTCTTGCCTAAATGGTCACATGTTAGGGTTATAATAATTGTATAGTAGAAAAATAATATTCACTTTTTAAATAACTACCAAGTACCTGGCAAAACTGCCGCTGCTTGCTTTTGCTGCACTAATGGAATAAAGGAAGTAATGTTAGATACAATATTATTCTTGCGTGTAGACTTCCTTCCAGAAAAAGTGGGGCGTTGTAGTTTCATACTGTCTTTTCCAGATAACTTTGGCCTACTGGATCTTTTATGGACTGATTCAGAGTTCCTCTTGGCAACATTTGCTCCAAGAGATATACTCTTGTCATCCTTCCCCTTACTTGTTAATCTTGTCCTATTTCCGTCCTGCTTGTCAAGTTTCTTTTTTACTTTATTGTGAGTCCCATCAAAGTTAGATTCTGAGATCACAAAATCCTGCTGCTCACTAGCTAATGCATCTTGTAAAACTGATGTAGAGGGGTTTGCATTTTCTACAATCTCAGCTGGTTGTCCTCTGGTACTTGACTCCTTCATTCCTTCTGGACCAATGCCTTGTTGGAATGTACGGTCAAAGTTAGATTCTGAGATCACAAAATCCTCCTGTTCACTAGCTAATGCATCTTGTAAAACTGATGTAGACAGGTTTGCATTTTCTACAATCTTGGTAATTGACTCAGTCATTCCTTCTGGGTCAACAATGCCTTGTTGGAATGTACCAGCAATCTCATCCACGTTTTCATTTTCTTCACTTATGCAGGGTAGCTCTGGTTTCGAACTCTTACGCTTTCCAGAACTGCCAAAGTTAAAATTAAATCTATCCCGAAGAGTTTGGACAGAAGATGTAAATTGACCATTGCATTTTGGTCGGTAATCAGAAACGGACCTTGGACTCCCATCGTTTAGAGGACAGGAAGTCCTTAGACCATGTCCTTCCAGAAGTCCATTAGGTAAAGACTGACAAACGTTCGCTATGCTGTGGAACTTGTATGGAGTTGAAGAATAGCATGATGGAGAGCACGTGAATCTAGATCTATCAAATGATGAAGTATCGGCTGAGTTACTAGGAAGATTCATACTTTCGAATTCCATTTCATCTCGAACAGTGTGTGGTTGCTCATTATCTGTTTGCATAAAAAACCCTTCAAACTCTGGTAAAGCTTCCCCTGTATCAATCAAATTCAAATCTCGGAATCTTGGAGAAACAGACAAACCATCTAAGTATTCAGTACCACCTTCCAGATAGATTCTTCTACTTGAGGTGGTTCTTTCAACACAAGTCTGATGCTCTGCATTATTTTGTCCAGAATTAACCTGGGGATGCCCTGACCCCGCCTTCCCATCAAAGGATGACCTCGTTGATTCAATACTAAAACTGAACGGCTCTGCTTCTGGCAACATAAGGGTGTCTGAGCATCTGCCTCTTCCATCCAATATAAGTTTCTGCTGACACGAAATCATTGAATCACAAACTACTAAGACAAATCAAGTAAAATGGAAAAACAACTTCTACAACTATATACCTGCACATATACACTTAAATATTCACTTTCATGCAGAGTAGATTATCGATATCTTTCACTGTTTGGTTACCAGTGCAGTTCTGGTTAAATACAATTTATTTTCAAACAAGCCAATGACTAATAGAGAGCCAGAAAAAACTGGAAGATCCTGAAGTGTAACATTTATAAATCAACACTAAAATTCATTTTCGTTTGCCTGAATTTTTATTATTCACTGTAGCTCATGGAAGATGGTCTTTCACTGATTATCCCCAAAACAAAGTATATAGTTATACAAACAATTAGAAACTAGCCTATTCATGAAACTTTCTGACCATACAAGACATGGCCCGTGCCATAAGGCTGGGAAGTGTCACCATCTATAACAAGGACAAGAATAATAAAATTGATATTCCTTTTGATAGACAAATGGAAAAGGATATACATGTAAACAATGAAATTACAGTCTAAAGAACCAATGCCAAGTTAAACCAGTAGTGTGCATGCAGTCAGATTCTCTTTCCAAAATATCAGCTTGCATCAAAGTTATTGTTCCAATTGAGAAGATTCATATGTATCAACCAACTCAGAATTCTCTCTGCATTCTCTCTTATTCTTATCTTTGTTTCCCGCCCATCCTCTAAAACAAACCTAAGTAGGGATCTTCTTCATTTTTCAAAAAAATGGAGAGTTCCATTACTCTAGTCTTAATTATATACTTCTATAGTATTATTGCATAGAACTAATATATTTCCATAGTAAATGGCAATCAAAACTCAAATCAATTTTTCCCCTAGCTCAATTGCTTTACCATGTGTTGTTTGCTCTCATTAATTTAAAACAACAAAGAGACCAAAAGTTAGAAGAAAAATACAAGCAATGTAAAAACATATATTAACATTTTTTTCAATTCAATTTGGAGAATTAGCTTACCAAAGTTATTGAGAAACAACTAAAAATGTTGTTCCCCATAGATGGGCTTACTATAGTAATTATTGAGGGTTTTGTGGGCTTTTAGGATTTACTCTTCATTTCTATTGAAATCAGTTTTACTTAACTCGGATGATTTATTTCATTTTCAGTATCATCTATCACATAAATACTAAAGGTATTGCTTTTATATTTGATTAAGAATAAAATGAAAAACACTACTACATTTTTTAACTTATATAAAACAAGGCTGGGCTACAATGTATGTAGACTGAGATTTAATCTTGTATTCTCAATTAACAGAGCTATCTTCCCACCTCTCTCTTCTGTTACATTATTCTCTATCCTGGCAAATATTTCAAATAAGAGTCAAAAACTTAAACCTACTTTTTATTTCCCACAATTTTAAGAACAATTTTTTATCTGAAATAGCTTTCAAATGATTGTGAGATCATCCAATAAAGTAAATCTGGCAAAGTCTCTGCCAAAACAACACTGCATGACAATTACAGTAGTAAAGATGTTAATCAAGACTGATTGTGAGATCATCCAATAAAGTAAATATTTCAAATAAGAGTCAAAAACTTAAACCTACTTTTTATTTCCCACAATTTTAAGAACAATTTTTTTATCTGAAATAGCTTTCAAATGATTGTGAGATCATCCAATAAAGTAAATCTGGCAAAGTCTCTGCCAAAACAACACTGCATGACAATTACAGTAGTAAAGATGTTAATCAAGACTGTTTGGCATACAATTTGATATTCAATATTGAATGACACCAACTTCGTTAGCACAAAGATATGCAGGAAATCCAAATCTACTGTTGAATGCTTAAAAAACTAAAGATTTACCTCGTCTTTTCTCACTGTCCCTTCCATTTCTTGGCTTTCCCGGGTGTCTTCCATCACATCTGTTGGGCTTTTACTGAAACGTTCATGTCCTATATCATCCGCCTGATCAAATGCCATATGCTGTACTTCAATGACAGCCTCAGGATTGTCTTCTTTGATACTTGAGGTACCACTTGCAGACCTTTGGTTGTTAGAATCAACTAGCATTTCCGATAAGTGTGTAGAGTCTGGAAGAAATTTCTCTGATTCAATCTCAATCTTTCTTTTCTTATTTCGAGAGCATGAATGCTCCATATCATTAGCAAAACTCTCTGTGGAACTATTGAAATTATGGACATCAGTTGAAAAACTGGTAAACTTTCCATTGCTGAGCAGTGCCTGCCTCGATAAGTCACCATTTTGATCCCAGGAAATGGTATTTGGGGCCTGTTGTGCCAAATCAACATTCACTTCATCAGTAGGAGAACTAACTGAGAACCTAGCATTGAATTTTGTAACACTTTTGTCTGCGTGTCTAGGGAGACCATTTTCAGTAACTGCTTCAGAAAAAGAATCTGCCAGAACTTCCTGCGTGTCAAGAGGTTCTTTATCTGGTGACTTTCTTTGGCTTCCTTTCAAATCAGGGCTACATATTCCATCCCTATTAGTCTCTTCACCATCATCAAAAACAAGTTCTTTAGGCATCACAGACATAACAAAATCAGGGGAAAGCCTCGAGACGGAAACCTCCTCCCTAACCTTAGGGCTAACAGCAGTGAGTTTTGACCCCAACAAAGGGTCTTTATCAACTAATCCATCAAGATCAAGATGAACTTTGGCAGTAGTTGTAGCAGATTTGTGTTTAGCATTATCAGTAGAATTGGCATCAGATGCTATATTTTCTAGGACATCCAAGTCCTTTTCAGCTACAACTGATTTAATGTATACAGATTCTGAAAGTATAGACCCACCATCTAAATTGGAAGAGCTTACTGGCCTCAACGAACTTTTTTCTGTGCAACTAGTCTCAGCCCTGCTAGAAGCATCAACTTCTGCAATGTTCTCCTTCTCTGCAGAATTCGCTGAAATTTGTATATCTAATTTGGAATACTTTGGACCTGAAGAAAACCTTCTAGTCTCCCGTTTAGTAGGCTGTACATTTTGAGACTTCTTACCCGCTGATTCGGAACGGGCAGCCCTTTGCCTGCGAGAATTGGAATTTGGAAACTTTGATAACTTTGAATTTCTGGTTAAGTATACATTTCCAGAAGCACTTCTACTTAAATATTCTTTTGTTTTTACTGCAGAAATGTGAGGTTCATTTTGGCTACATAAAGACCCAACAACGTCCACTGAAGGGTCCTGCAAGTTCTTCAAAATTAAAGGTTGAGGCAATTGCACAGATTTATCAATAGACTTTACAGAACCATTGGTTGTGAAAAAATCATCCCCTGGTGATGGACATGAACTTCTCCGAATATTACTTTCTTGTTCAGTTTGGGAAAAGTCACCGTCTTTAACAATATTCCTCCTACTTCCATTGATACAATCAGAGGTTTTGGTTAAATTGGTTAACTCAACATGAGAACATGGTTGATTCAAATCAGATGCTACAACCACTATGCATCTTCCTAAGGTGCTGTCTAAGTTTAATAATTCGCTACTACGTTCTGCCTGGCTAGAACTTCTAGGTTTGCTTAATCCTTTATCATAGACACTGCTTCCAATATCCTTGTTCTGAAAATCTATTATATTTGGTTCCTGAACCCCACAGCTTCCATTTACAAAAGAAGGCCGGTTGATAAGCTCCATTTCCTCATTCAAATCATTAAGTGGAGGACCAACTTCCTTCTCTACAGAAGAAATACCGATACTCAAAGAGTTGAACTTCTGGGATGAACTTTTGGATCTTGTTAAACGGCCAGTGTAATTAGGACTGTGATCTTTTTGAGTTCGACAGCCCCCTCTTCTCATTTCTTCCGTCAAACACCTCCGGTTGTTTGGATGAAACTCATTGACCAAGCTTAACTCCTTGATATGGTCTTTCTGTAGAGATGGTGGTGCAGAACGTGTAGCTGCGGCAGTACAATCCCCAGCATTATCACCATCTCCTGACAACGGTTTGAAAGCTTTAGCACTGTTCCGTTGCTCCAAAGCTTTCTGCCTCGACCTCGATCTATGCAACTTGGACAATGACACTGCCGGGTCAAGGAAACTCTCAGAAACTCTTTGTTCTATCTGATTCTGAGGTGAACCAGCAACTAAATTCAACGCTGGAGGAACACTTGACGCACATCCAGCATTACTAACCGAGCAATCTGCCAAATTTGAAAGCCTTCCCCCTGTATCATGGTCTTTATTAAAAGCATGGACATCATTATGCAAATCGCCAGATACAACATTCAGATTGTTGTACAGACTGCAATGATCACCAACAGAAGGAACTCCAAATTGTGTTTGTGATGGCTGGCCTTGATAAACAGCATCATTGAATAAATCTGCATACATGGAAAATATTTTTAATAAATCAGGATCAAATTTCTTTAAGCATGTGTTTGGTTCTCCGGTTAAAATAATTGATTTTGAACGAATTGATTATGTAAAACTGATTCTATCTAAAAATGAGTTGAAGTTAAAGTGATTTATGTTTGGATAAATTTATGTAGATGTGGGTTTAACGGTAAATTTCAATGTAAAAATTTTAACTCAAATGCTACAAATTCTAGTTTCAAGTAAAATAAATTCTGAAGGGAGAATCAATTCTGCTTTAGAAAAACCGCACGCCTGTTGGGTTCTGCGGTGACGAGAATTGATTCCGAGTGAATTGATTTTCTAGAATTGATTCTGGTTAGAAGTTTGGATGTAAAGTGATTTACGCTTGGATACATTTATGTAAAAGTAGTTTGAACCATAAATTTCAGTGTAAAAATCACGTTTAAACTCAAAAGCTACAAATTCTAGTTTCAAGTAGAATCAATTCTTTTAAAATAACCAAACACATCAAAATCATTCTAAAATCAATTATATACCTCTAGAATTGCTTATGTCTCTTCCAAAAGCTAAAACAAACATACACAAAATCATTCCAAAATCAATTCTACACCTCTAGAATTGATTTTGAATCTTCCAAAAAATAAACCAAACATTCTCTAAGTAAATTTGGCAGAGAAGTTGTTACATTCTTCTATTGATACATACAAGGACATAGAAGAAAAAACAGGAAAATCTATATTAACTGAAAAATAAAGTGTGATTCTTATTTATGAGCATAGATTAAAATAAAACCACTGGATTTCACAATTTAAAAATTAAGCAAAATCCAAAAAGCTTCACTATGCAGAATCAAGGATCTATCAGAAAATAATAACATATCACTATAATTATAATACAGGTAAACGCTTCCAAACCTAAAACGAAAAGAATGCACAATTTTCTCTCTCATACACTATAAACCCTAATTCCTGCGAAGGAGTAAAGAGAGTTACAGAGATAGCGAGAGATAGCGAGAGATAGCGAGAGATAGTGAGAGATAGCGAGAGATGGAGAGAGTACCTTTGGGATCTGAGGGAAAGGAGGAGTGAAGAGCGGAGTTAACGAGCCATGGAGGAGGAGGAACTCCGTTGAAAATGAGTAGAGGAAGAAGATTGTGCTCCCAGAGAAACGACTCCTGACGAACTTGCTCGACGATTTGCTTTTTCCGTTCAAAGATCTTCACGAAGAGCTTCTCCGTCGTTGACATTGGGGAGGTTTCAGCACCGGACGGTGGTGGAGTGAGGAGAGAGAAAGGTGTGGGTTTGGCGCATTTGGAATTTTGAATTTGGGGATATACGTTGGACGCTCGTGATTGAATGAGATTTGAAAGGTGTTTTATCAGAAATAAAAAATAAAAATAAAAACTCGTGAGGTTATTATTTGATTATTTGATGGAGTATAATTCTAACAATAATAGTGTTAGATTTATGATTTTAAAAGTTTTTTTCATTAAAAAACGAATGGTGAATTTTAAAAATATTATAGACGATTATAATTTTAATATACTTAAAGGTTTTAAAATTTAAAATTGTGATTTTCAAAGAATTTATCATATGAATTTATATGATTTAAAACAACGTAAAAAATAAATTATTATATTATAATCTTTAATACATTATGATTTACGGTTGTTAGAGGCGATTTCTGATAAGCGATAACGACATAGTCGGAACACCGATATCCATAGCTAAAACGAGAACCTAGCTTATAGAAGATGCAAGACCATTTGAGACAGGTTTAGAGTCTTAATCTTAGGGTTATGAATCATCTCATAAGAGATTTCATTTTTTTAGAGGTTAAGGTTACATTGTGTTTTTAGAGAGGATTGGAAAAGGACGTGGTCGACCGAAGAAACGAGTGACGGTAACTCCACCGACGATAGTCAAAATACTATCACCATCGAACACCCCACGATTGAAACCCTAAAAACTTATATAATAAGATCTAGTAGCAATATGAAGATAATTAGATTTTACTTAATTGTTATCAATTAACTCTAATCATATGAATATAGGTCTAGTTGTCTCTAATCTCAATAATTCTTTTAACTCCCTCTGTTTTTCCTGATCAGGACTCTTATACTCGATTGTAACTTCTTGAGATTATTCTGGATTTTATACATAGGTCCCCCACTATCCATATTGTACCAATATGGAGATAAACATGTTGAGATCAAAGCCCACCTCAACAAATTGCAAGTGTCTTGTGTTTCCTTATTTGAAATAAGAGTAAAAAAGCAATAATGTAAAGAAGATTAGAGACATGTTTGGAAATAAATGGAAGTGGGTTGACAATTACCAACACCGCCTTAATGGTCGCATATGGCTTATGTGGAAGAATGACATCATGGACATTAAAATGATCACTAGTTCCGATCAATTAATTCACTACAAAGTTCCTCCTCAACAAGGCAACAAATTCCACCTTACTGTCATTTATGCTCAAAATTAGTTGATAAATAGAAGGAAACTTTTGATGGACTTGAGTTAGATAGCTAATACCATACAAGGTCATTGGATAAGCATTGGTGATTACAACAATCTACTCACCATCAATGATAGAATTGGAGGAAGTCTTGTCCAAGATGTAGAATATTAAGACCTGGAGAATATAATGGAAACGCCATAGCTGTATGAGCATGATACTATAGGTAACCACTTCACTTGGTCAAACAAGCTCCTAACTGGGACTATTTATTCGCGTATTGATAGAGCTTTATGGAATAGGGACTATTTTACTTCTTTTCTCAATCGCATTATTGAAATCATCCCAACCCATATCTCTGACCACACTCCCCTTAGAGTGAAAATGCTTGAGCATATCAATACCTTACAAATACCTCACTTGCAATTTAAGTTTCTCAACTGTGTTGTTGACCATCCTGAATTCAATGAGGTGGTGAGGAATAATTGAAACAGTATAGATAGTGGGAGACCTATGTATAAAATCTAGAATAATCTCGAGAAGTTACAACTGAGTATAAGAGCCCTGATCAGGAAAAACACTGAAGGGTTAAAAGAATTATTGATATTAGAGACAACTTAGACCAAGCTCAAATACAACTCTAAACAAACATGTTCAACCAGACCTATATCCAGGTGGTCAAAAAGTGGTCAGAGGAACTTATACAAGTTAGAAATACTAAAGAGCAAATCCTCATGCAATAAGATAAAGTTAATTGGCTTAAGCTTGGTGATGGTAATGACGTGTACTTCTATGTTACTATTAGAGAGAAAAGTAAGAAAATTGGCTTGCACCATATTGAAGACTCGCATGGAAGGAAACTTACAGAGATTAATGATATTGAAGAGGGGGTTATAGATTTTATAAGGAGCTTGTTGGTACAAATGATCAACACATTCAACATGTAGACATTGTGGCAATAAGAGAAGGTGCTCAACTCTAGGAATTTCACAGGAACATGCTCATCCAACCAGTCAATGACCAATAAATATGGACTAATCTCAATAATATTGGGGACAACAAAGCTTCGGGGATAGAGGGTTACAATGTGGGGTTTTTTAAGGCTGCCTGGAATATGATTAAGCAGGATATTATAGAGGCCAATAAGGACTTCTTTCATAGTAGCAGATTATATGCTGCTATAAATTGTACTAGTGTAACCTTGATTCCAAAAACTCATGAGGTAAAGCATATGAAGAGAGATGAGATCAATTGTGTGTTTCACCACTGTCTATAAAATAATCTCAAAAATCTTTACCATGAGACTCATTAAAGTCATTAATGTGTTGGTGGAAGAGAACCAATATGCATTTATCCCGGGAAAAGTCATCCATGAAAACATTATGATAGCTCATGAGCTCCTCATAGGATATAATAAAAAGCACATTTCCCCTCGATGTGTTGTCCATATTAACATCCAAAAAGCCTACGATATTGTGGAGTGGATAGCTCTAGAAACCATTTTGAAAGAGATGGATTTTCCACCTAAATTCATCAAGTGGATAATGGTTTATGTTAACACAGTTTCTTACAAGTATAACATTAATGGCCACCATAGTGAGATCCTTAAAGCTAAAAGAGGTTTAAGTCAAGGAGATCATATATCACTATTGCTTTTTGTCCTTGTCATTGAGTACTTGAATATATGCATGAAGAAGCTAGAGAACAACCCCAACTTCAACTTTCACCCCAAATGTGAGAAGGTGGACATAACACATATTTGTTTTGTTGATGACCTCGTCCTTTTTACAATAGGTGATGCTTTATCAGTGCAACTTATGATGGATGAGTTTCAACAGTTTTCAAAAGCCACATGTATGAAAGTTAGCCCTACTAAATGTAAAATTTTCTTTGGTGGTGTGCATGACCAGTTTCAGTAATACATTGTTGATAAGACTGGATTCTCTCTAGGCATTCTCCCCTTTAAATATCTTAGGGTCCCACTATCTAGTAGAAAGGTTAATGTGCATCAATATAGACCCTTTATTGATAAAATCAATGCTAGAATGAAACACTGGATGGCAAAATTGCTTAGTTATGTTGGAAGAAAACAATTTATCAATAGTGTTATATTTATTGTAAACATGTATTAGATGCAAATATCCCCTCTCCCTAAGAAGTTCATCAAGGAAATTGAAGCTAGATGTAAAACTTTTATATGGAGTGGTAAAGATGGTATTAAATGGAAAAGCCCATTAGCTTGGGACAAAGTTTGCCAACCAAAATATGTTGTGGGCCTTAACATCATTGCTCTAAATGATTGGAACTTAGCTACTATGTTTAAACTCTTACGAAATATTCAGGCAAAGTCGGATAAGTTGTGGATAAAATGGTTGGATGCATACTATCTCAAAGGGCGAGACATTATGAAGTGGCAGGCCAAAGCAAACTGTTCTTGGATATTAAAGAAGATTTTAAAGTGTAGAGATAAGGTGGCCCATATGGATTACTGGAAAGAGGCAGTGTAAAAAGATAAATATAGCACATCCCAAATGTACAAAACTAAGAGGGGGGTCAAGAGCATGTGGAATGGAGGAAAATTTTGTTCACAAATTATGCAAGACCCCGTGTCAGCTTCATACTATGGCTAGCTTTACATAATAGGTTGCCAACTAAGGATAAACTGGAAAAGTTTGGCATTATCTCTAATATATGTTGCAGCTTTTATGATCATGATGAGACTGTAAATCACCTCTTTTTTACTTCCAAGTTCACTACCAAAATATGGCAAGAGGTTTTGAGGTGGATGGTGTGATACGGTGGGAGAACTGACTTGATTGTTTTGCGTTTTATCGCAAATGTAGCGGTTAGCAAGAGCCGCCATCGACTTTTATTTTATCCAAAAGAAAATGTGAAAAAGCACAGGAAAGACCTTTGAGATTGTTTCTTGAGTTCGGGGGGGTAGATTATGAAAAGGGAAGGTATTAGCACCCTTTTCATCCATGGTTTCCATGGGCTCTTAGTTACTTGCTAGATCACTTGCTTTTGTTTGAAATTGTACTTTGTGTGGTTTTTGAAAGTATTTTGTAAAGAGGCCATTGTTTAGGCAATCTTTGTAATGATTCTCGTTCGTAAGAATGTATACAAAGATGTTTATCTTTTTGAAAATGTTTTTAATTTTGTAAGATGTTTTGAAATGTGTGTCTTTGTTTTGAAAATAGCAAGGATATTTGTTTGAAATGGATCAAGTAACTAAAAGTAATCTACCTACTCAAATGTCTTTCTTGTTCATTTTCTTTTCCTTTGATATTGTTGTATTATCATTGATTTGGTAAGCAACCCTATCTTTGGATGTAAACAGGACGGGCGTGGGTCATCGTATAGCCATGATTAGTAATGTTGCAAGGTATCTTAGCATTTTTGAGGGACTAAGATCATTTTTAAGGCAACTTTGAATAGCGCCATCGAGGGACTATGATCTTGTTTTTGTTTGTTTTGCTAAGATACCTTACGTGCGTAATATGGCCATTTTCGTATAAGGCAACCAAGTGGAGTAACCCTAAGGGTGCTTATGTGCAAGTGTGTCATTTGCATGCTTGATTTTGTCTTGGATTAAGGTTTTCCATTTGATTGGTTTTATCTTGCCATACAAACCCTAATCACTAACATGTTATGTAAAAGCGATAAATTGTGAAATTTAAAGATTACTACGCTATTACAACACTTTGTGGGAGGGGGGTATACAATTTATGAATGGGATTTGCAAGAAAGTAAAAACCCTAATTATCTATTACAACCATATCA